CAATATATATATATATATATATATATATATATATTGGTTTTTACTCACCAATCCATTTTCATCCTTATCAGTCTGTCTTCCTCCTCCTAAAGACAAACATAAAAAACAGCAAGTTTTTAGACTGTTTTTTATTTTTTTTGTCCATGAGGAAACAAAATAAACATAAAATTCACATCAGGTTGAATCAAAGTAACATCAAGTTGATTCATGACCTGTACAGGTGTGGCCCTTTGGTCTCTGCTGATCTGCACCGTCAGACAGTGTCCCAGTAGGTCCAACTGGTGGACACAGTCCTCCAGTACAGCTGCTGTTCTAAGACTCTGCATCAGGCCCAAAGACATCCTGGAGACAGAACGAGACAACTCAGAGATGCCTAATAAATGAAATAGATTAAGAAGATTTTATTTGTCTTATATGTTTTCATATTTGAAAACAGTTAATGTGATGCCTCGATAATTTCTGACAATTTCAAAAAAGAGATGCCTCTTGTCTGAGTGAAATCTAACGTTTCTCAAGTCTTCGTTACTGCGCAATTTGTGATGACTCACTTCCGTTTTTAATTAATTTTTTTGTTAAAAAAAGTATTAGTAAAATAGGTAACGCCTACGTTAAGTCCAAATAGTTTTTCTTTCGTGGGATTTTCTCAAATGTCTTGTTTACTTTCAGCTTCGACAACACCGCAGCTGCAGTAGCTAGCACGAACTAACTGTTGACGTGTCGCCATGGCAACGGGACGTTTCTTTTCTGCTCTCACATTTGAGCGAACGCAAATACTTTTAGTTTTGTTATTATTTCTCACGCAAGAAAAACCTCAACATTTAACACAGTCACATATTGGCATTTCTGCAGGACATTTTTTTCCCACTACTTTTTCTTTTCTGTTAGAGCTACTTCCTGTTTTATTTTGTAGAGTTTAGTTCCTCCATGCAGATATTGTTCAGATACTTCCGGGTTTTTTCATTGGTTTGAACCAGAGCCCTGTAAAGAGCTTTACAGGGCTCTGGTTTGACCATAGATATATGATATCTATGGGTTTGACCATAGATATATGATATCTATGGGTTTGACCATAGATATGTGATATCTATGGGTTTGACCATAGATATGTGATATCTATGGGTTTGACCGCCTCACTTGTGTTGCACCTGTGCAGACTAATTACTTCTTTACTTCCCGTCTATTTTAGGTTTAGCTCCAGATTGTTATTAGGTTTTTTTGTTGCCATGTCAGCTTCTTAATAATAAAGTTCTGTTTTCTCCTGTTCCCTCTTGTCCATGTCAGTATTTCTGGGTTCACAAATATTGCATTTAGTTCATTAAAATCCTTGAGTTTGGTTTTTACACATTTTACAAAGTAAAATACTATACCTTCTTAGAATCAAAAGTTCAAATAAAAGAGCAAATTTTGACATTGGAGTATTTGTAAATCTACAGTAAATGGGCACCAGTGACCCCCACCATCCAAAAAGGAAGAAATGGGTAAAGATAATGGATGTTTGCTCAGGAGTGGGATTTTATTGTCAATTTTTCTTCAAACACTGTCATAGAAAACACAAACTGTGCACAAAACATAGTGAGAAGCAATGTGGTCCAATTCATAGTAAAATGGAAAAAGCTTTGCATGTGTCACAGTTGGATTAAGTCTGAAGAGTTGCATCCTCTCAGGTAATCACCTCCAGTTATACAAACATATACTAGACATGGCGATTCCATCATTTATCTCAATGTTCAGTCTTTTCCACAGGTATCCAGTTACTCAGGTAATGACTGGTAACCGCTTGAAATTTTTGATCTCGGTATCTGTCAAACTTCAAGACACATTACGTTTGGACTTTATAGAAGAAATCTGAAGGTGTTTCAGGCATAGCTGCATTGGTGCTCTTAAACATTTGATCAGATTTTAGTTTCATTAGATTTAGGAGGTTTTGAATAAGAGACCTTTAGTCAATGTTCAGGTATTGCAATACAGTTTATTATAGCTGTTATCATTTGTTGCACTCTCTGCAGGGAGTTACAGATTAAAGGGATTACAGACAGAAGGTACAGGCCACAGTAGAACATGCACGATGTCGCCTGTCACGCTGAGGTTTCCTCTGCAGACGTCCGGCTCTTCATCTCTCCTTCCTACCTGAAACCCCTTAACTAGGAGAGACGTCCTGTCAGAGATGCAGGTCTACAAACACCAAAAACAAAGTATGTACACTGTCAGTGAACGACTGTTCAACAAATGAGTCATTAGAAAAGGCAACTTTAAGGCAGAAACATGTTGAAATGAAAATAAAGAATGTGGCTTAATAAAAAAATGTCTGAAAGCAGATATTACCTCCTGTTCTTTGGGCTAAAAAAGATGATCCTAATTCATAAAGGCGTTTTTATAATGTGTACTGTGTGTATTGGCCAGTAAACAGTCGTGTTTTTTGCTGGACTGAACTGGGTTTTATCATCTGTACATGAGGCCTTTTACTCTGTCAACTCTTTACACAATGCAAACATTCAAACACAACTCAAGAACATGTACGATATAATGATCAGAGCATTTTCAAAATGCAAAAATATGCGAACATTTCATGTAAACTACCCAAAGGCCAATTTGAACCAAGTCAAACACAGATTTAATGTTTGCACGACAGCACCGACTCACTTTGCTGAATTTCACACACTTTCTGTAAAACAAACCAAAAAAAAAAAAACCCATTAAAACATTCATTTCAGACCAAGCTGCAGACCTGCAAAATGAAACAGCTAAAATACATTAGCATCCCTGGTTGGCAAAGTCAAATCCAAAATCTTAACTGAGCCTCGGCAGACCTCTTCTGAAGACATTAAAAAATGGTTGTCAGTCAGGTGTAATCCGTTTTCTACCACTTATCCTTCATCAGGTCACTGAGGCAACAAGTTTAGGAGGGAAACCCCAAAATCCCTTTCCCCCCCGAGCTCGGCTCGTTCACTGCAACTGACCAGAGCAATGTCCTCATTACTGTGAACGTGGCCAGTATCAGTCAATCCATCTCCTGCAACATCCTCACATGGACCTTTTTACTGATACCAACGTATATGTTCAAAGTCAGTATTTTATGATGCATTGAGGTCTAGATATATTCATGCCTACTTCAGGTTCAACACATAATCAACTTTTATTGGTCGTTTGTGTTAATACGGCCTCCTTATCTGATGAAAAATTATTAGAAATCATTAAGTTTGAGGTTTCATCTTTGCTCTTACTTTTATCAATTGTTGTAATGTACCAAGATAGAGCGCACAGCTACCAGAAATTGTGCACATGGTGTCTGACTTTACTCACGTGCACTGGTATCTGTATAAAGGTCCAGTGCTTGTGAACATGAATCCCTCACCCTGGACCCAGTTGAGAACCAAGGCTTTAGACTTGGGGAAGATGTTTTGGTACCGCTTTACAATAAGGCTCCCTTTATAGATGGCTAATAATTAGTTTATGGATATGTTATTAAATCCTCTATAAACACTTTATAAATCATTAACTGCTTATTATGCATTAATTAAGGGTGACAGACAAAACTGACCAGTTTCTTGCCAAATAGTGAGACAAATCTGTTCCTCTATATATTTCATCTAGAGTTGTTATATTAAACATTTCAGACTAAGTTACTACCTAGTAAGCAATAAGCATTTGCAAACCTAATTATTTTAGGATATAATATTGTACTTTATCACTGTATTATAAGTATAATAATAAGGGGAACCTTATTGTAAAGTGGTATTGATGTTTTACACTCGCTGCAAACTGCCCCAGCGCACGCTGAAGTTCATGGCCCAAAGAGGCCTGCAGGACTATATCATCTTATCTGCAAAATGCAGAGACAAGATTCTAAGGTTGCTGAACCAGAAATCCTCATTTCCACGACTACATCTTGACATCCCATCATGAACAATACAAACGGGATCCGAGACTAGGGACAACCTTGGTGGAAGGTTGACAGTCGGTTGGAGCCTCCCTTTCAACATCTTGGAGTAAACTTTCCCAGAGAGGCTGAGGATTGGGATCCCTCAGGTCCTGCTTTTTAAAAATGAGAACTGCCCCCCCCCCCCCCCCCCCACTGCCAACACAGCAACATACAGGTCAGCCTCAGTGTGCAGAAAGTCTGGAAATTGTGCAGGAATTAACTTTCTCTTTTAGTGACACCCAGGAGGGGAAAAATGTATCATTTGGCACCAATAATTAAAAAAAAGTATGAATTGTTTGGCGTGTGTGTGTTTCTTTAATATTCTGGGAGCATCTTCAGATAACTTCTCCAAACACTCAGAATTGTGAGTGCAGATGGGGCTGACAGTCGCTGGGAGGACAGAAAACCTCCCTGAACGTTACTTGCAAAAATCAAAACAGGAAGTGACATTTATGAAACAACCCACCCCCACCCTTCACTCCCACACACAAATATTAGTTAAAAAACTAAAATATAATCCATATAAAATGCACATTTTAATATTCTGTTTCCTTGAGCATCATTCTCAGTCTAGAAGAGAATTTCTTCTCTTTTGTGCTTTAAAGTGAACACAAGCTGAGCTGGACGACACAGTTGTGCCATCAGAGGAGGACGTCTGTCCACTGGGATTTCCACTTCAGTCACCATTAAATCCCTGTGGTCAGACATTGCAGGAAGCTTGAAATCAACAAGATTAGAATAAAAAATACAGACTGGCAGTCCTGCAACATGCTTTTATCTGGTGGTCTGGTTCCCAGTTTCCTGCGAGTCGTATTAGGAGCATTCTGCAAGTGGAGCTCTCGTGCAGTTTCAGATTTCGTTGATCGTTCGCTCCGAGGGCCTGTACCCCTCCGCTCCTTTGGGGGACGACATGTAAAACGACTGCGTCTTGCGTTTTAAGCGAGCCCTCTTCGTGGCCAGTGACAGACTGTGCTTGCTGGAGGCGATTATGTCGGAGATGAACTTCTTGCAGTCCACACACACCTCCATGGTGGCCCAGTCTTCTGTGAGCTCCGGGGGCAGCTCCAGCTCTTCATGAGACTTTAACGAGCCGTGCTTCGAAAGCCTACGTGGAACAAAGACAGATTGAGATAGATGAACTTTAGTCCTGACAGCGCTGCAGTCATGAAGAATAAAATGACACTTCCAGGGTTTTATGTATCAGGACTTAATAAAAATAATCTGGTCTTTACCAGGTTTGTATGTTCTTTAATTTTAACTTGAAGTGTTCAAAAACACACAACAAACTCCACCAAGTTATTAGTTATGAAACAAAAGTTCACCCTCTCAGGTCTGCAAAGTTGCATCTGGATAAATCTCAAGACTTCTGGAACAATGTTCTTTAGATAGATAAGGCCAAGGGAGATAAGTTTACCCATAATGCACAGCACCATGTTTGTTGAGAACTACACACAGTATATAAGCACAAACCCCACGTACAAACTGTCAAGTATGGTGGTGGATGTATGATGATTTGGGCTTGTTGAGCAGCCACAGAACCTCTGGGAACTTTGCAGACATTGATCGACCATGAACTCTAGAGTCAAACATGAGACCATCTGTCCGACAGCTGAAGCCTGGGCCGGACTGGGTCATGAAACAGGACAAGGACCTCAAACAGAGCAGCAGACCCACTAAAGAATGACTGAAAAACCAAACAAAAATCAAAGTGCTGCTGCAGCCCAGTTAAAGTTTAGACCTCAGCCTGAATGAAATACTGTGGTGGGACCATCAAAGACCTGAACGGAAATAAATGACTGTCATCCTCAACAATCTGAAGCAACATTCAGAACCTAAAGAAAAGTTAAACCTGGTCCTCTGGACACTCAAAAAAATAAAAAATAAAAATTGTAGAAACGTTTCCTCTTTCATTTGAAAGACTTCTTCAGTCTGAGGTGCTTTCAGATGAACGATGAAACGTTTCTACAATTTTTTTATTTTTTTTGAATGTCCAGAGGACCAGATTTAACTTTTTTTTTTAAATGTTTCTACCTGGATTATTGAGCATGCATCAGAACATTCAGAACCATGTAAGAGACTGGTAGTTTTTAGTTTTCTTTAATAAATTAAAACATGATGGGATATTTTGCCCATTACTCAGTCAACTTGTTGCTCTGGTAATTGACTTTGTCCACGAGGTGTCAGTATTGACTGAAAACTGGAGACATTGTTTTGTATTCTGTGTGATCTTTGCCTAAAGTTTGCAGCTTACTATAAAGTGAATATCTTATTACACACGCACGCACACACGCACACACACACAGCTGTTTGTTGCTCTTACTTGGACATGGTCTTCTGAATGCTGTGACGCTGCAGGCTCCCAGAGGACTTGTCAGTTTTGGCAGCTGCTGCTCCTGCAGCCTTTCCAGCTCCTTTAGATGATGCTTTCGTAGCTCCTTTCAACATGGGGGAGGCAGCAGCAGCCCCTCCCGTCATCGATGACGGCCCCGGACCCCCAGCCACAGAGAGCCCTTGTCCTACAGAAGCCATGGCACCTACTCTGTCTCTGGGGAGAGTGTTGGTCGAGCCGATGGAGTAAATGGGTAAACTGGAATAAGGTTTGGATGGTAACCGCATCTGTGAGAAAATGGAAGGCTTGAATATTAATAGGAAGCAACAAAAGTTAATCAAAGAACAGATTTTATTGTACTGCAGTGACAGCAGCACATGATGATTGAAATACTATTTTATTTCCCACAACCATCAGCACTGGTGTGTTTTGGTTAATTGTGGGAAGGTATTTCTTTGTTTACAGTAGATTTATTTCCTTTATGATTATCATGCATTGTTTCTGTCTCTTTGGATCCTGGTGCTGTTTGTCACCTGATCAGTGTGTCAGTTTCTCTCTTCATGGATCCTGCTCCTCATTTTTGCCACGCCCGCTCTCACCTGATCCAGTTATTTTTTATCATCTCAGCCGTTTCTAGTTCAGTTCATTAGCTCTGATAGTTTGATACTCTGTTCCCTCTCCTGATCAGTCTGTCTCCTTTGTTCAGTAGCTCTGTCTTCCTGTGAGTCTTTTCTAGTTTGCTGCTGCATGCCTTTGTTTTCTCTGCTTTGTAATAAAGTTGAAGTTTCCATTGAGCTCCTCGCCTCATACTAGATGTTTTCCTGCAACACTCTCGCCTTCATTAAATGTGCTTCATGCTTGATTTAACCTACAGAAGTTTATCTTTCGTATTAAGAAGGTTTTGTTGCACAAAGAAAATGTGACATTTCACAAGCAGCAGGTTTATCCTACCTTTTTACAGCACTGCGAGCATACAGGCCTGCAGGAACATAAAATGGGGAGAAATGACTGAAAACAGTCACGGCACCAAAATGCTTGAATACAAAGTAGAAAATATATAAATAATGGAAAATATCTTAGATAAGTTTTACTTTTTACAGAACTGGCAGGTGTAGGACCAGGTGAAAAGGGAAAACCTTTTGGTTCGACAACTGAAGCAAAGCTGCAATGACAAAAATAGAAGTTACAACACAAGAAAATACTGAAAACCACACATACCAAAAGTCTGTTTCCTCCAAGGAAAGTTATGCAGTTGAGTAAAAAGTGCACTCTCATGTGCATTTAAAACTAAAGTTTCTAAAATGTAACAAAAAAAATGTTTTTCTGTTTCCAACCAGGTAGTAAAAATAATTAAAAACAACCTCAGATAAAAAATAAAAGAACACATTTTATACTGTTCTTACCGGTACGTACTAAAAACTAAACCAAAGTGAAAAAGCAGTTTGTGACAAACTAAATCCACACTTATTTTTCCTGGAAAGGAAGTTGCTGCTAAAAATGCAGCTGAATTAAGAGTACGGACCTGAAAGCAGCTTGAGAATTCACCGATCTGGAGATTTTAGGTGAATATTACAATAAAAAGATGCAAAAATGTAAAGAGCCTCTGTTTAGCTACACATGGCCTAGTATAAAAAGCATGGAAATGATAAATAATAAGTATTTAAAAGCTGTTCCAATCTGTCTAGTTTAATAAAAGTGTATTCCAGCAGATTAAATCATAAATGTGAGGACAGTTGCCAAAGAAGGCTGTTGCGATTTTTAAAAACTGGCTGAGCAAAACAGCTGCAAGACTAGCTGATCATTTGTTTGCAGGTGATTACAATTCAATGAGACCGTAGCTGAAAATGGTTGAATGCTCTCACAATATTAAGTCAAGTTTGCCTCACCAACTGGTCTCCAAACAGTCGCAGCCCAGCGAGATCCTACTATGACTGTCCATCACAGCATATGAAACTTTTCTTTAAGCCTCAGATAACTAAATGAAAGTTGGTTATAAGTTATTGGAAAGATATTAAAAATAATTTTGTGACACTGATCCAGTTGGGCTTGCTGTTAATTAAACAGTTGGCAGCTGTCGGCTGTGACCAGTTGCTGTTTTAGACACCACCTTAGCAGCTCCACAATGTTACAAATATAAAGAGTGAGGCAGGATTAGTGCACACTCGAGCGGTATTAATTATATAATCAGTAGTGGGCACAGCCAACTAAAAAATTAGCATAGCTAACCCATATTCAGACAACTAAAAAAGTTTTGTTAACACTAAACTGCTAAACAGGTTAAAAAAGTAAGTGGAAGCTAATGCTGAATTGATACCCTCAAAACTGTCCCTCAGTCTGTGTCACGTCTTTGTTTCTTTCCAGTTGAAGCTGTGTCGACCATCACGTCTTGTGCTGTGTACACGTAGTAAGCCAGTAGCCCAGGGCTATTAAAATAAACTGCTCAGTGGGCCACCGTTACTGAAAGCCAAGAGCTTAGGGGAAGGACATCCAGCAGTTATTGTTGTTAAGTTTGTTTTATGGTTCAAAATCTAGTTTTATTTAAAAATGGACCCATTGGAGGGCCGAGCTGAGCTCACCTCTGGGCCTAATTTGGCCTCTGGGCCACCAGTTGAATAGCCCTGCAGTAGCCTCTTAGAGACAAGCCCATAACAAGCAAGAACAAGCTTATAAATTTTATTAGCAGACAAAGTCGGTGAGACTTAATTTAGCAGAAGCTAATTCTGCTAACAATTTCTAAAGTTAGTGAAAACAATAATTAGCTAAATGAAAAATTAATCATACTATTAGCTGTTAGCAGAACTGTGCTCACCACAGCAAATAACTATGAGCAGCTTCAACTTGCAGCTTCAAGTCGTCTCTAGTTAAATGCTGATGCATCAGACGCTAAAAGGTCTTAACAAACAAAATAAATGTTGTTTGTGGCGACTAGACCTGTCACGATAACAAATTTTGCTGGGCGATTACTTGTCTCAGAAATTATTGCGATTAAAAAATAAAATTGTTTGAAATTTAACAATAATTGTCAAATTTTAGAAGCAATGTTGATTTTGTTTGGAGTGTAGTATCTTTTTTGACCACCTGATGGCAGTATAAGACTGTTTGAACCAAAGGATGGATAGTTGAGCAGTGTGTCTCTTTACAAAAATGGGAGGGAGGGCCCTTGACGTGACATGGGCTGACATGGTCTGACATGGTGACATGGCCTGACATGGTCTGACATGGTGACATGGCGGATGCTCGGTGATTTGAGCTCTTTAGCATAGCATTTTTCACACAAAGATTTTAATAAAAAAAAATCAGTAAACAAGTTCTCAGCTTCTTTTTGCAGAGAAAAACAAATTTTTACACGAAGGCACAGGTTTCAACCGTGAATTTTGGAGCTTCGACAAGACGGAGGTTTTTCTCCCGAGGTCAGCCTGTTAGCTTAGCTTCTCAGCTTAGCTGCTTTTAACGATCCAAAAATGGGATTTGGGACGGTTAAAAGAGATTTTAAAGAGAAAAGAGAAAGGGACGGGCCAGTGAAGAGCACCGGAGTTGATCCTTTTTTATCATCCAGTGTCTTCAGTAGAAAGAGAGAGACGAAGAAACGATAAAGCCGATAAATGAAAATGAGGTTGATAATTTTCGTTTATCATGCGAATAATTGATTTATTGTTTATCGCGACAGGCGTAGTGATGACGGAGATAAGCAGAAAAATCACAGGGTATAGCTCCCACTCACTGCTTTTTCATTTCCGTTTAGTCTTTGTTGAATATATAACATAATTTTTCATACGTGTTCATCTGAATTTGCAGTTAAACAATTTTAAAGTGTAAGATTTAAATAATAAAAAATATATTTTCTGATATGTAAAACCAGACAAGCTCATTCACAGTTAAACAGAATGATGATTATGAAATCACTGCAAAGCTTTTTAACCTTTCCTTTCTTCATAGCGTTGTAGATGTCTTTGTACTGCTGAAACTTCTCCAGCTCTGCTTTCACCAGCACCTGTCTGATATGCATCACCTCCTCCACGGTCAGGGACAGGCTCTCCACAGGGAAACAGAACTCCTCCTGTAACAACAACACACAGTTATTACAGTAGCTACTCCTCTCTATGTGGGCTTGAAAAACAGATGTAACACAGCTACTGAAAATCTTTGCCCTGTGTCCATATTCATATGAAGCATTATGGATCTTAAAGAACATTTTAGGATATCCAGTACTTTGGTGCAGGAAATCCTCAGACTGTATGGCTTGTATAAAAAAAATCTTTACTCATCATATAGTTTCTGTGAGCTGTCGGTCAGCTGTGTAGCAGGACCAAAGCAGGGGACCTCTTAACATTTTCTATTCATAACAAGAAAGCTGACATCTGTTGTTTGATTTTTTTCTTTCTGGTATGATCTCAGGGTTTTTATGAGGTAATTGTATTTGTGTTTAGTTATTTCCTTGTTTTATCTAGACTTTTTATTCAGTATGTCCCGTGTCTTTTTTCTTCTTTTTAATGGCAGCTAGCAAACCAACTACAGGTAGGTGTGTTACTGCTACCTAATGAGCTGAAGTGCGAACAAGTAACAAAATTAATCCACCTTCTTCCTGGAGGCTCTACTGTATAAATGATTATGGGCACAACTTCCTGTCAGACAGGAAGTAGCAGTAAGCATTGCTTAACTATGGTAGCGGAGCACGGACCGCGGGTTATCTGCAAGTTCTGCATTCAGTTTAGAAAATAAAAGGCTGTTTTTGTTTTGTTTACATTTATTTAACAACCATAAAGTTTACTAAAATAGCCGTGCTGAGTTCAGGTACCTGTTGTGTTCATGGCTGCAGAAAAAACAGACCAAACTAAATCAGTGGCTACAACAACAGAGTTTGAACATGGACCCAAAACAAAAAGATTGTTTCTGTGAAAAGAGGTCTAGTTTCCATCTCCTACTTACAGATGAGGAATTAAGAAGGATGTGGCTGAAAAATGTGAACTTGAAGAGACCACCCAAAACTCTGTTTGCGAGCTCATTTCACTTTGTTGACAAACGGTAGACGGAGGAAAACCTGCATCCTACTTTGTGTCTGGACTACAATAAACCACTGGAGAAGAGACGGTGGATCCTCAGAAGGATTGAAAACAGTGATGAGAACATCAGGTATGATTTCAAGTGTATGGAGGACACAGCAGGCAGCACGGTGGCTCAACTGGTAGAGCTGCTGCCTCTCAGTGAGCAGGTCCCCGGCTCAAATCCCGGTCCGGGGGCCTTTCTGGGTGGAGTTTGCATGTTCTCTCCGTGCATGCGTGGATTTTCTCCAGGTACTCTGGTTTCATCCCACAGACCAAAAACATGCATGTTAGACTGATTGGTAACTCTAAATTGTCCCTAGGTGTGAGTGAGAGAGTGAATGGTTGTTTGTCTCATTTGTCTCCATGTGTCCCTGTGATGGACTGGAGACCTGTCCAGGGTGTCTCCCGCCCATTGCACAGTGATTGCTGGACATGGGCACCGGTGACCCCCGTGACCCAAAATGGAAGAAGCGGGTAAAAGATAATGGATGGATGGAGGTCACAGCATTAAAGTATTTGTTCGTCTTCAGTTTTTTGATTTTCTCTGTAATTAACCCAAGCTCAGTGAAGGAGGACTTCAAGGCTTTGGCTGGGCTCTGTGTCTGATTTAAGGTCAATAAGATTGTGTCTCACCTCTTAAAAAAACACCACTGACCTTATTACTGTGTGTAGATACTAATACACCTCAGTTAGTGAAGTAGCTAAATATGATAGTAGATGTAGCTACATATGCTAGTAGATGTAGCTAAATATGCTAGTAGATGTAGCTACATATGCTAGTAGATGTAGCTACATATGCTAGTAGATGTCGCTACATATGCTAGTAGATGTAGCTAAATATGCTAGTAGATGTAGCTAAATATGCTAGTAGATGTAGCTAAATATGCTAGTAGATGTAGCTAAATATGCTAGCAGATGTAGCTAAATATGCTAGTAGATGTAGCTACATATGCTAGCAGATGTAGCTAAATATGCTAGTAGATGTAATCTGCAGCCACTTCTTCAGCTCGTCCTCCATCCCTCGTCCTCAGCAGTCAGTGGTTTGATCATATTGTCCTGTTTGAGCTCTGACAGGTGGTGTTTCTACATGTTTTAATTAAATCCACAATGCTCGGAGAAACTACATTTGCTCATACTGTTCGCACGTAAACAAACGCCGGTTCTGGTCTGCGCCAGAAGTTGCATTTATAATTTATTCAATACATGACTTGGCCTCTTACCAAATGTAATGTATACCTTCAAAAACTACTCAAGAACAGGGAAAAACATGTTCCTCAATGACTAATTGTACAACTTGAATTTAAAGCTTTGCATTGCTTGTATATTATAAACTATTACAGATGGCAGCACCCTCAGTCAGGACGCACGAGCAGCAGTCTTTGTTCCAAGTCACAAGGCAGCAATAAGAAAAACGCTCAAATCTTCAGTAACTTCTGATAGTTGCTGCTGAAAGTGCAGTCACTGGAATAAACTAGAAACTGTTCAGCATGTTTTATGAAGCGTGAGGCATCATGAAAAAACACTTTAAAAGAGTTTTAAAATTAATTTATACATTTAAAAGTTCAAATTAAAGTTAACAATCTCTTAGGAGCTGCTATAAGTAGGTTAGTGAAGAGCTACGGAGGAATCATTCAGTACGAGACTGTTAAACAAAATTGCAAATGTTGCTGAACTGCATACTGGGCTTTCACGTTTCCAAACCAACCAAAACTACAGAAGATAGTTTTACTTTGCTCTTAACATTTTTGTAAAATGAATGTTGCTGGATGGAACTGTACATGACCCTGAAGATTAACTCAGTACCCCAACATGAGCTTCAATCTTTTTATTCAGTCACATTTCACTTTGCAAAGCTGCTACTGGGGATGATCTGAAAGACCCACTGCGTGTTCTCAGCTTGTTCCACATCCAGATGTTTTGAATTGTTGCTGTCATATGAAAGACTGCTAACATAAATGAGCATAACTCATATTTTGCCCATAAAGATTCTATAATGTATGTCGAGTTAAACGAGGCTATCGTCCTAACCTGAACCTGAGAGAGGGTGGAGGTGTGTAGAGTTTGAGCAAAGGACAAAAATATGTTCGCTTGATGGAAAACTGTGAGTATACCATGTAGTGGCTTTATGATTGGCTGATGATTATGTGCCAGAAAAAGTAGAGGGAGAAAACTAAGTGGAGGAGCATGTCAATGCCCACGGAAGGCATTTAATTCACTTTATTACCACTGAAATACCTAAATTGTCAAATCAAAATGACCATTATTGTGTTTTTGTCTAATAAACTGCTCAATATTCTTTAATGTTTTTAATCTTCTGAGGGTACAAGATGTGCGGGTGTGACTCACCAGAGACTTGGAGCTTTGTTTGGACGGTGGCAGAAACAGTCGCACGGTGGTTGGTGTTTCCTTCTCGATGGAGTGTCTCCTCTGGGGGGTCTGACGCCTCTCTGGCTGCGGTGTGGAGGAGATGGGCAGGAACATGGGAGGAGCTGGTGGTCATAGCCACAGGAAAAGGGAATGTAGAAGGAAGCAAATGAGCCAGTTTCACAAAGAAACAGTTGTTTTTGATGGAAAAACATAACACGGCTTGGTACATACTGAGTTTGTACCTGGTACCAGGCAAGTATGAGGTATGTACCCTGTAAGTACCAGATATCAGATAAGTGACGTACATTGTACTCACCAGGTATGCACCTAGCACTTACCTAGTACATACCTGATACGTATTGGGTACATACTTGGCACTTACAGGTTACCACTCTGATACCTGGTACTTACAGGCTATATTCATGGGATGTATTTGTACTATGTGCCTGGTACCGGGTGTGTACCTGGTTCTTCCCTGGTATATACTGGGAATGTATATGGCCCTCACAGGGTATGTTACTGATACTTACATGGTACTTACTTGCCAGTTACAGGCTACGTATGTACAGCCAAACCATCAAGGAACAGACTCAGGAATTCATGGCTGATGAGGTTGTAACATTTACAACTTATCAGTCCCTATCAGGTTGTGGTTTTGTTGGCAAGGCAATACAAATGTGATGACCGACGTGGAAAATTTTGTTGACTCACTTTTCTTCCCCAGCACGGACTCTGGGGATGTATCATCCAGCAGAGACGTCGCCAAACTGGAGCTGCTCGCTGATGTTCGCCCAACCAGCTCATCCTGAACGTATAAATAACAAAAACACTTCACTCAACTGTTGAGCCACACAAACTTTAATTCAACATTTTTTAAATTTAGCCTTTTTTTTTCAATCTAGTTTCATCACACTGGACTTACATCTGAGTCGGAGCTGTCCAGCTCGGCGAGGCTGGGAGCCTTCAGGAGTTTTTTCCTCTGAGGCACAGACTGAGAACCGGAGGGCTCTGCTCTGGAAGACGCCAACCCGTTATTCAGAGACAGAGTGCTGGACGTCCTCCTGCCCATGTACGGACTGAACTCATCTGCACAGATGAAGTCATTCAGTCATATGGAGAACACACTGGGATGAATCCCAACACACCTCCTCCTTTGCTCCCTTGCATCCTTGTTGAATTGCACTTTTAATTTTGTGCTGTTTCATGTTTTATTTTGGAAACAGCTTTTAAGTAATAGGATTTCAATAAAGGGTTAAAGGATGCAGTGAGACTTGTCAGAGGATTAAGGTCTGAGATCCATCTGAGGGTTGGGAAGGATGTGTTAACTGGTTCTGAGGTGAGACAAAGACACAGGCTGGTGTTACACACAGAACATGGACACCTTTTGAATTCAATATGATAAGTTTAATAACAGGTTCTCACTCCCTTTAGGAGGAACCTGTAAGTTTGAAACTAAATACTCAGTCGTGTGTTGACAAAATGGGGAAAAAAGAGAAACTGAGCTACACGTCAAACTGCCAGATTCCAGGACGCAATATTTAAGGCAAAATTTAAAAAATCCAAAGAAAGTTGAGAGGAACAGTGAAAAGGCGTAAGAGAGAAGGAGACGAGCAAATTCTGTGAAAGGGAAAACATGCCACAGCTGAAATAGAAAGTCATTGTTCTCCAACTAGACACGTCTCAAACCCTACCTGATCCATTCAAACACCATTTGACAATTTCTTTTCCCCAGTGGTTAAAAATACGGTATGCAACTTGGAAAAATATTAGTTTGCAGCCAGGCAGTGAGACAGAAAAGGCCAAAAGGTAAAAGGCGAACAAAGCCTTCCAAACCACAGCATTAATCATACTTTACCTGTCCCTGTACGGAACAAGTCCTGAGGCATGCTGCGAGTTTTGCCAAAACCTATAAAGGAATATCTCTTTCATTAGGATGGAACAGATACAATCTTAATGTACACATTTTAGTGGCATTAGTGACAGTGAGGATCTTTACTTAAGATTTTTTTAAATGTTTATTTTATCATTCAACCTTCTTTGCTGTGAGAACCCACTCAAAGTGGTTGTCTACCGTCTCCTGGGGAGTTGGCTCTGTCCTATCATCAACTACCATATTTTCTGGTGTATAAGTCGCAGTTTTTTGCATAGATTTGTCAGTACTGCGACTTACACGCCGAAGTGACTTATATATGTTTTTTTCTCCATATTCATAACACAATTTTTGACTGATGCTTTAAATTTTGAAGAAATGCAACAGCGAGTCCTCCCGTGTGTGCTCGCTTCACCCAGCTGGTGCAGGCGGAGGGACGCTGGAGAGCTAGCAGCTCCGGCTGCCATGGATGGATGGATGTTGCTGCGCCACCCAGGTGAAATGAAGCTGTTTGGACCATTAAATAAACACATAATAAATGTGACTTATACTCCGGAGCGACTTATACGCCAGAAAATACGGTATGTTCACTCTCTATACCTCAGAGTAAAAGTTTCGACACTACTCTGAATATTGCAGGTCTTTGAAAGCTCTGCAGCAACTGGAATCAGACCTGACGGGACACTTTGTGGAGTGGTCCTTCAAGAATCATGTGCCCAGATCAAGGAGACTACATGAGGACTCAACAGACGCTTTGGACCAAACATCTATAAAGACTCCCTGAGGATTGAAAGGACACTTACTCCCTCTGTGACGTATCTAAAAAGAACCAACGTGTTTTCTTTTAGACATCAAGTGGAACACTAAATGCACATCACTTAGCTGCTGTGGTCATTCAGGCATTTACACATTCACCATCATAAACAGCTGAGCGACAACAGACAGTGTTTTAAAGGGGCCGGAAAAAGTGTTCACCTTACGCAGCCAATCAGCACCCTCACATTTATAGACAATTTCTTTTTATTCTTTGTTTTTCTCTCATTGGGCCAAAAAAGCTGTGATCTGTATTTCTGAGCTGTTGGTTTGAAACGAAACACTTTTGAACTGAACATTTTATTTGTTAAAAACCTTTAGAAGCAACATTTTAGAGATAAAACATAAAAAACTCACCATCTTGATGTTCTTTACAAATGAATAAAAGTGAAATAATTTCTTGATGGTTATTTTTTATTATTATTTATAATTTAATATAATCTTTCTAGCAGAAGATGATTTTATTCATTTCCAATGGGCTGGTGGACCAGCAAACTGCTCAACACTGAGCACACGATCCATCACCAGGACGAGGGGGACACCAACATAGTGGACTTCACTGTGGGAGCTGGATCTAATCCTGGGACACAGTGTTTATCCTGAACAGGGTTCTCGGGGTACTGATTAAAACCTCGGTCAAGTTGATTAAAGTGTCAGAGTCGTAAAATGCAGTGAAATAAACTGCTCTCGTTAAAGAGGGAGGACTGAACACAAAGACACACACAGATCAGTGGACAACATGGATGACGGAGCGTGAAGTAAAGCTTGTGTCGTGATGAGGAACACTGACTTCAGTAGAAGAGGATGTGAAGAACAGCAGATCTCTGATTAAGTGAATTATATTGTCAAATTAAAAATATATATCTCCATTGCAGAATGCAGTTTTTCAGAACACACGGTGTTTTTTAGCTGCACATTGATTCCTTTCCTAAAGTCACCGTGGTGCACAAAGGACTCGTGTGTAAAGTTGACACTTAAGGAACTCTAACAGCTCTTGGTCTGCTGGACGAGCCTTTCACTCTTTGATTACAAGGCTGGCAGCACACTTCTCCCTCAGAGTCACATTACAGCGTTTAGTGAAAGTGAGTTTGGAGATAAAAGGCAACAAACATTTTGATCAAATGTCCCCAGATTGTTATAATTTTATTAAATGGATTAAAACAACAAAAACAATTTGACATGTATTGTGACAACAGCAGGGTATGTGTAATTCACCATATTTACACTCAAACACAGTTAAATCAGGGACAGTATATTTAAATTTAGTTAGATAGACGTGCATTTAAACTTTCAATGTCTTCCTTTGGGGTGTTTGAATGTTAACGAGAAATGGGAATTCCTTGGTTTCCATCGATGGAGCGATGTAGTGTGCATGTTGTAAATCTCACTATCGCTAGTAATAATAACTATAAGTTCTGACTTCAGACATTTTGACGTGTACTTCTGCTTAACGGTTATGAACAATTCACACTTGTTGTAGATAGGTTTTTGACAGTGTCATGCAGTCAAGGTGAGGCAGGTGAGGCAGTGCCTCTCCTGTCATCATGACAAGTAAAATACTGACAATGATAAGAGAAAATACATTTTACCACTTGACTGTTTTATAAAACTGTTTTATAAAACTGGTTTCTGAATTATTTCAACACTTAAATGGTCAAAATTGTGGAATTTACGCATTGCCTGTTCAAACATGGAAGAAATGTATTGGGTGAGGCGGTGTAGTGCTCTGGTTCACCTCTGGGGGCGCTGTGTCCTATACAATTTATGAAGAAGGTGGGTGGTGCATGCCCATTGCTCTTTAGATCGCCAATATACATGTTTGATTACACGTGCTGCACATGTTGATGTTATACAATCTGTCTAATATATTGAATGAATGTGTGTGACATATTTCCGCTTTCTAATCGGTCTGCTCAACATTTGTAATTATTTTTTCTATCCTTACCATGTTTTTTTTTGTTGTCTTTCAGGTTCACCTGATCCTATACCTGGACCTACCATTCTGTGTTCGTCTGTCTCTCCTTCCTGTCCTCTCAAACCAGCCAGTCAAAGCAGATGGAAGTTTCTTCCTTTTAAAGGGAGTTTTTCCTTTCCACTGTTGCCACTGTGCTTGCTCAGGATGGGCGACTGCAACAAAGCCAAGATTCAACTTGTCTCCTGGATTCCTTAGATATAGAACTTTACTAATTGGCTTTTATGTATGTGAATGTTCCTGTAAAGTGCCCTGAGACAACTTTGTTGTGATTTGGCGCTATATAAATAAACTGAATTGAATTAAATGCACAGTGAAAATACACAGGGTGAGGTAGAAAGTACTGTGCCTCACCAATAGGGGGCAGTGCTGCCCCATAGTTACAATGAAGCAGGTGCATTCTTTTGTTACACAGAGGGTATAGCAAACGGTACACTTGTTTAAATTTGTTTAGACAAAATGGAAGATCATATCTCAAAACTAAAGGACTTTTAACTCTAATTTCAGTAGAAAAATAAGGTATTAGAGACTCCTCCTTGGAGCAGCCAGAGTTTTAAAAATGAAGGCAAACCGGGATGAGTTTTACAACAGGAGATATTAGTGGAGAAGGATCGGCGCATGGACTTCATCTTAAAATAAAAAAGGTAAGACAATACAGATTTAAAATATATATATATTTAAAAAGAGAGGATCCACCTTCCTTCCAAAAAATAATTTGACCTTACATTAAACATTTAGTTTTTCTTACCATCATTGTTGAACATGATGGAGTTAATTAAAACATAATTAGATGCCTTTTAAAAATAAAAAAAGGCTAAATTGAAATATAAGCTTCTATTTTGGATTATATATATGTGAGCGTACAATTCCAGACAGTCAGTGCCTCACCTGTCACAAACCTCACCACACGTCACTGGTTTTTGAAGGGTCACAGTTAGGCTGAACTAGTCCTAACCCATCAATACGTTCTGCGAGAACCCAAATTCACAGCAGATTGTGCCATCTTAAAACAATTCCAGTCTTCAAAAATTAAACAGCAAACACTATTATATAACCCTTTCAGCAGAAATATGATGAAATATGTGCCAGAAGTGCTACAGTTTGCTGCTGCCACCTCTATTTGTGCTTATAAATAAACATACATTTCTATTTGAATAACAGTAAATTGGTAAACTAATTGCGGGGTAAAAGCTCTACATAGTGTTTGATGCAAAATAAAAGTTTGGAGATTGGAGGGGTTTTAACATTTTGATCTTGGCTGTGGTCAGACAGTTACAATTAAACTCAGTTTCTTCAAACTGAAGCGGTTCAAAGAGCTATCTACAACAGGTAAGATATTATTTGTTCATATCCTGTCACCGAACCAAACTTCAACATATCTGTGAGAATATCATTTTCACTCATTTTTTTACCTCAGTTTTTTAAGACATTAAGACCTGGATTATCTTGGCACCAAGCTGCTATTTTACAGCTTTTGCTCACTAAACAAAGCCACTGCTAATGATACTGAAATTTGTAGGCCAAAAAACCTAAATCTGTGGGCTGAGATACACCAGCTATAGATTCTCAAATCTCATTGTGCTCTTTAAAATTTTCGCAGCCATATATGAACAACTAAACACTCAATAAAAGAGCTTTAACCAACGATTAGTTAATTAATGTTTTGATGTTGATTTAATTGATTTAAGGTAATCAAATCAGAGTATGCTGAGCAACAACGATAAACCCTCCATGTGAAGTATTTTTATTGTTTAGACAGTTATCTCAGAGTATCCATCCTCCTACTGATCAGTGTCCCACTGGTCCATGTTCAACCTGCACAAAGCAACAACCACCACCAAACACGGAAGCATGACATGAGGTCTGTGCACCAAGAGGTGTGTGTGTGTGAGCAGATAGAGAAGATGAGCAGCCACCACATAGCAAATAACAGAAGGAGACAAAAAGCCAGTTAAGCAACGGGAGAAACTTTACCTGACGCATCAAAACTGAAAGACATGCTAAGTGGCCGAATTACTGTGAAGAGAAACAGCCAGGGCACGGGACGGTTACTGCTGGTGGGTTAGGTGACAAGTTAAGGCAAGGCTTAAAACACAAAGTAAAACTATCTGCATGTATTTGGCAAATAATGCTGGGAAACATCATGTCTGCTTTCACATCACAAAGATCTTATGTCTTCTGTGATGCTGTTTCAAATGAGCCACAGCCAGTGGTGTTTACTGTCGTTCAGCTACGGTACAGTTTTACAGCTGTTTGGCTGAATTCATGGCAGCTGCGTCGACAAACCAGTTGGCACTTTTTCTCCATTACTGCTGGGATTCTAACGCAAAATCGCTTATTGAATGCAGGTTTTATTACGAGCAGTCAGTCAGTATTCACACCATCTAACAACTAAAACTAGACTCCAGAGTTAATGGCTATAAATGTCTGTAAACAACCATCTGATGCTGTAGTGACAGTGTAAAAGTTCATCATAAAACCTTCACTTGAATGTTATTGTAATATGGTTGAACTTTACTTTTCACAGGCCTCTTCTGACTCGTGGTTAATTGTCACTGACATTATGTGCTTTCAAAACAGTTATAAGGACTTTACTAAGTGCTTCATGGGCTCTATGTATTTGCTTTTAAACCACCGGGGAATGCAGTGATCTATGGAGAGTGCAAGGTGACAAAATTAAATAAATAGGCATCATGAAATAAATAAATGTACCAATAAATGCCCTATTCAATAATTAAATGCATCATTTGGTACATTTATTTACATCATGGTACATTTATATATTTAATTGGACATTTACATTTATTTATTTCATGATGTGTGTATCTATGTAATTTTGTCACATTTCACTCTCCACAGTGACCGAGCAACCCTCAGCTGATGGTCAGTGCAGCCACATTCAGCAACAACAACAATGGAGGACTCCACAGGAGTTTGGAGGTGTGCTCAAACCATTCAGAAGTAGTTATAGGAGCCAAGACTCATATGCCAGATCAGTCTACTTTGCCTGAACATGTTCAAAGAGGAGGATATCAGACAATAAAAGCAGTAAAATAGCTTCTACTTTAGTGTTAGAGAGCAGTTTTAATAGGGTGGGTGCTGAAAGGTTGTTCCAAGTTGCTCGGTCAAAGTTAGCATACGGATCAATCACAATTCTCTTGGAGTCCCAATTCCTGAACAGAAGCTAAAAGAAATTCCTGTTGAATGTAGGTATAGGACCTAAGACTGACCACGCCAGTTTGAAAAAGACAAACTACCTCAAATTATCATAAAGACTGTGAGCTGGGGAAGTTTCCCCTCCTTCATCAAACTAGAACCACTCGGCTGCAGTTTGCTGAAAGACTGCTGATAAAAACTTCATTTAATAAAAAAAAGCCTTTTTATATTCACAATTTCAGGCTTGTTTCCCATTTTACAACCAAAAACAGAAAAAAGTAGATGTGCAGGTCTTTTTCTAGTAATGTTTTACAACTTTTATTTCCCCATAAACCTCAGATACATTTCAATCAAAATGAATGCCAGCACTTATTTTCACAATTCCTTTGGGTGCAGCCAAAGATGACCCTTCTAGACAAACTGACAAAAACGTATGTCTCATCTAGGCTCCATAAGCGAGTGGACGCAGGAACCATGAATTCAGCTTCAGTGTAAAAGAAATGCAGACGCAGCATTATTGTCTAACTCCTGCAAACAATCCAGTCAACAAAACACGTAACCATCAGCAGCAGTGTTAATATAAACGGTTAGGCAGCATCAGGAACTGTAGCAGAAAGCAGAGGCACATCTAGTGGTGAAGTACAGCTTAAATAAAGTGAAGCTGCCACACAGTTCTGTGATCAGTTTAATATTCACAGTGAAATGTGACTACGTGTGCGTTATGCAACATTATAAATTCAAAACTAAAACCTAACTGAAGAGTGTTCTTACCCATCTTTCCCCTGCGGATCATGTCAGGTGACACGGGGCGAAGCTTCCTTTCAGCCTTGATCTCTTCCAGGATCCGCTCGTGCAGAGTTGGAGGCGGCTGAGTCTGAGGCTTCAGCTTACGAGCCGACACCTAACACAGAGCGATGGTGGGGCAAAGAAAGATCACCAGTGGAGTGGAAATCTGAGGTGACTGGTCTGCAGGGCTGCTCCTCGACACTTTGTCTCAATCTATTCTGTGCTGAAGTCTGTCGTATTGAACTGCACTTACAGGATTTAGAGGAGGTCTGGACCTGATGAACTCCAGGATGACTTCATGAGCGCTTTTCTTTAACCTCGGTGGAATGTCTCCATTGATCTGAAAAACAGAAAATTATTAAAAAAAGAGGAGAGTGAGTACGTTTCTTTTGCCTCTTCCTTTCTTCAGTGCTCACCCTAGTGAGCAAACTTGCAAGAAGGATACACAACCTGGGCTTGAACCCACAACCTCAGAATTATAACACCGCAGCACTGACCACCAAGCTACCGCAGAATAGAGGATTACAAGACCTACACATTAAACAATACTGTATCTCGAACTCATAGTGAGTCCAATAATTTGATTAAATGTGTTTAAAGCTGTTAAACAAACAAGTTCAACAAATAAATGCCAGTGAAGCAACTAGGCCTGGTTTAAAGAGAAAAATTAAACTGTGCTTTTACTGGGACTTCAAAATTGTCTGGTACTGGTGAGGTTCTGATGTGAGGAGTGTGGGATTCTTCTTCTTTGGTTTTTAACAGCAGCTTGCATCCATCAATGTTGCACTACTGCCATCTCTTGGTGTTTATAAATTAATTTCTTTCCTCCAATTCTCTTATCGAGTCCAGTATTATTTAAAAAACGAAACATCTTTCTTTTCCCTTCATCACTATTCAGCTGCGAAGCCACATTTTCAAACTTTAGTGCCCTATTACAACCTTTTTCCATTCTCAATAATCTTATTTGACCCACATATTTCCTGCAGTTAATAAAAACATGTTCTATTGTTTCTGTGGTATTACACCAATCACATAAACCAGTAAGATGTTTCCCCATCTTAAAAAGAGTGCCATTCAATAAACTATGCCCAGTTCTTATTCTATTTATAATTATCTCCTCCCTCCTATTTATTCCTCTGATTCTTTTAATATCAACTGTATTCTGTATCCTATAAATGTCTCCCTTTTGTCTCATAGCTCATTTCCCATAATTTCTTGCTTTCTTTCCAAACTCTACTTTTGCCTTCAGATTTAGATAACTTTATTGACATATCAATAGCTACTTGAGTGTAGGATTCTGTGTTTGTCCTGTCTTTTCTATATCCTCGTGTTTCATGCACTCCCCAGTGTTCCCTCTCCTTGTTGTTTCAGCTCCTGTCGCACCTGTCTCCAATCCCAATCAGCCCAGGTGTTTGTCATCATATCTCGTTAGTGTCTGTATCTATCCAGCATCTTTGTGGCATTTTGTTGTCTACGGATTGTCCTGTCAAGGCTGTCATGTTCTGGTCCTCCATCTAATCCCTAAAAATAAGTTTTGCTTCCCCGTCAGCTTTTGTTTTGTTTGATCTAAATAAATTGGAATAATTTGCTTTTACCTTGGAGTCTCCTGTATTCTGCCTGCACGTGGGTTCAGACAACTAAAACTACAGAATCCTGATAAGGAGAGCAGACGTTCTCAGGTCTCAGTAGACAGATGACTTTAGGAGTGTTGAATGAACATGGAACCAAACGTAGATAGAGTACCAACATAATATAGTCAAGTAAACAACAGCTATTCTGTTGAATGTTTACTCAAGTGCAAGTTTAAGCTATTTCTGTAAAAAAAAAATCTATTCAAGGTAAACTAAATAGTACAGCAAGACAATTACTTTAGCTAAAAGCTGTTTTGTTACTTTTTTCAGCTGAACTGTGGTGAACGAAGGACAAGAATTTTTTCTCAAATGAGCTCTTAAATTAGGAAAAGCTTAACCAATGAATACGCACTTATAAAATGGATCATGTCCTCATGTGATATTCACAACACTTGGAGGGTAGATATTAAATTTATTCAAAATAATAAAAGTATGGGTGCCACAGTGGCTCAGTTGGTAGAGCCGTTGCTTCTCACTAAGAAGGTCGCCAGATCAAATCCCGGTCCGGGGGCCTTTCTGGGTGGAGTTTGCATGTTCGCTCCGTTTTCTCTGGGTGCAGTAGTCCCTCGCTGCCTCACGGTCTGACTTTCACGGTCATGCTCTGTTGCGGTTTGAGGACAGTTCATAATATTGTGCAAAAAAATCATACGGGACACATGATTGTCGACTGTACAGTAATATTACTGTACTCGTGGCTGGAGAAAAAGTTAATGACAAAAATAATTCAGACAGGTGCCGCCATTTTGTAGTATTCTTTCAATAAGCCTACACAGTATTGCCAGTTGAAAAGAACTACATTACCCACAAGGCAACAGTGCACTTCCCAGAATTCAACAGTGCTTTCAGCCTGCTGCTTTCTGCCAAAGTGGAAGGAAAGTTTTGATCCAATCCTGACTGAAAAGTTTGGTCCTTTAATTCATAGTGGCCAGCACCCGGTGGATGCAGAGAGCCATATGGAACCGATCGGGAATTGGACCAGCCTTTTTGGTCAATCTGAGGGCTGCTTGTCAGCCCAGAGAGCCTCTCTCTCGTGTGTGTGTGTGTGTGTGTGTGTGTGTGTGTGTGTGTGTGTGTGTGC